TTTGGATGGGTTACTGGCAGGGACCATTCCCTGGGGAAGCACATCATGCTTGGTAAAGTAGAAGGTCTTTGAAAAAGAGGAAGACTTTCAACGATATGGATTGACACAGTGACTGCAACAGTAGGCTCAAACATAACAACGATTGTGGGGATGGCACAGGACCAGACAGTGTTTCGTTCTGTAATACATAGGGTCGCTAGGAATTGGAACTGACTCGACAGCACCTAATAATAACAACAATGTCTTGGTTTTCCTCTTACTTTACTGTGCTTTTTTGTCTCCTTTGTAGATCCTTCCTTTTCTGATCTCTTAGTCTGGAAGTTCTGTAGGCCTCTGTCCTTATTTTTGCACTGTACTTCTCTCTGCTTTTCTTCACTTGTTTTCCTCCACTCACTCACTTGGTGATCTTATCACGTCCCATGACTTTTAATATGCTAATGGCTCCCAAAATTATATTTCCAGTGCAAATCTCTCTTTGCAATTCTAAACTCAGCTATCTTTTTAAAATAATTTTCTTCAGATTTGGTTACATTTTAATGGTAAAATATACCTACCCCCTCTACTACTAGTACCATCCTGGTCTGAACTATCATCATCTGTCCTTGAATTATTGTAATAGTCTTCCAAATGGTTTTCTTGCTTCCATCTTTGCTTTCCTACACTCTGTTCATAACATAGCAATCACAGTTTTGCTTAAAAAACTTCAGTCAGATGTGTCATTCCTCTCAACAAGATCCTCCTATGATTAACTCCCTTACCTCCTTTAAGTCTTTGCTCAGAGGACGCCCTTCCCAGCAAGGTCTCTTCTGACCACCTTATTTTAATGTACAACCATTGCCTCTTTCCCCTCAGCTTTGGGCCTGGGACTTCCATTATTCCTATTCTGTTTTTTCCTCCTTCATAATAATACCTTTTAATATAGCATATGAATTTACTCATTTCTTAGGCTTATTTTTTAGTGTTGTCTCCCTTTACCAGACTGTAAGCTCCATGAGGGCAGGGATGTTTGTTCAGTTATGTATCCAAAGCATGTATAACAATGCCCAGCATATTGAAGGTGCTCAGTGGATATTTGTCCAATGAATGAATTTTAGTCAACACTGAGTGTCCGTAACAAGAATAAACTACTTTTTTAAAAATTGGATTATGCTTTTGTTTGCCCTCTTACTATCAGAATTAATTACATATTTAAGATCTTCAACAATGAGACTTTCTAAAAATTTTGGTTATGCTTCATTTCCTAATTGTAAATACAGAACTTCTAAAATTCAAGCATACTTACGTAATATAAACAGGTTTTTATTACTGTAGTGGCTGTAAAAACATATCTATGAGACTTTCTTCATAATTATTTTGTCAGAAATACCAGTTCTTTCTTAATCCTAGCAGTAATCTTTAAAGTTTAATTATGTAAATATATGTTTACATCAGGTTCAAATTTCATTTCTTTAGATCAAATGCCAGTGGAATTTTCATTGATATATAATTTCATTCTAATATATCTCTTATTTTTTCATTTAATTTTTAAACACTTTGAGCATACGATGTACCGGGCATTAAGCTTGGAACTTGCACATATAAAGCCAGATCTTAATATTATAACATGTATGGTGATGTGGAATCAAACGTAATATGGGCCTACTCAATGAAGGAGCTTACCTTTATCTAAGGGACAAAATTAATAATATTACTTGGATGTGGCAAAAAAAAATACTTTCACTCACATGTGCATACATTTTGTTAATCTGACTATGTCACGTGGAGATCAGTAAACATTAAGTTATTACATTAGTAAATACCACTGATAAATTTGCTTACTTAAAGGGTGCTTGATATAATTCTTAACTTTATAACACGTAAATTATGGGAATTACTTGCTTTACAAAATAACAGGCCACATGTTTCCTTTAGATATTTAGTTTTGACTTGGTGTAATTTTAACTATTCAGAGTTATCAGTATTGTGGATGTAGAATGCAATTAAAGGCACAAAGAGATTTATTGTTAAATCTCATAGTACTAATTAGCATGTGCTCTAGTGTTAAAGAAAATAATTAAGCAATGAGTTAAAAAGTGCATTTTGACATTCAGAAAATTTATTGTTATTCTTTTTTGTAGAAATTTATGGTAGAAAAAGCACAATTATAATTTTACAGAAATCAGACGTGTATGGTTTGTTATTTTTTTAACATGAGTAGTGATCGTAAAAATTGAAAATGGCAGGAAGAATTTCACATATTCTAGAGACATAATTTTGCAGATTGATGAAGAAAATTTGTATTACCTTGTCTAAAAAAATATTGCTTGCTGATTTTATTTTAAGCATATTGATTACATAATTTTATTAGTATTTGAATATTATCTAATTTATTTTGCTAGGAAGCATTTTTTTTTTTTAATGTTTGGAAAGATTTTTTAAAAACTATTTTTTAGGGTTTACTATATTCCAGGCATTGTATTTAGTAATGTACTTTCATTATTTAATTTGATCCTTACAATATGAGGGAGACACTATCATTATCCCCAGTTTATAGATAAAAAAGTGAAAAAGAATTTAAGTAATTTATCTTATATTTTATTGCTAATTAGCAACAGAGCCTAGATTTCACCCTTAATTACCACCTTACACATTCACTGTTAAGAATGAGGAGAAATCTGATCATTTTATACTTCAGTTTTTCTGTATATTTTGAAAAAGAAAGGGAAATGTTTCCCCCAAACATAATCCCTTGAGAATTGGAGCTTGTTTCTCTTTCTCCTCCCTCTCTCCCTCCCTCCCTCACTTCCTCTCTGTCTCCCTTTTCTTCTTCCTTTCTTTCCTTTCCTTTCAGTCAACTTCCCTTGAAGAGATACTGATGCCTGTGCTCACTCCCAGAGTTTCTGATTAAATTGTTTTGAGATAGGGCCCTGCATGTTTGTTGTGCTAGATGGAGTAGATTGCCAATGTTAAAACTGTTTCTTTTCTTTTACCTGTCCTTCCTTTGGTGCTTTTTTGTTTGGTTCCATACTCAGTACTATCTTACTATCAATGCTGTCTTAAATTAATGATGGCAGTGATGAAGCTATAATTCCTATAGGTATCCCCAGCATAGTATTTTTCCTTACAATATTTATATAAAATAGTAACCCAGTATGTTTAATTACAGCAAGCATAATAAAACTGAACACAATTCCAAATTTGCCATCGTGTTTAGGAAGGAGCAGAGTATGAAATTTGTTATAATTTAGTTAAATTATATTTTACTTACTTAAGTCTAGTTGCTTGATAGCTTATACTGCATGTTGCCTATCCCAAAAGGAAAGTGAAAGAGAAGGTAAGGACAAGTGGGATTATGGAGTAAACTCCAATTAAATTCAAAAGAAATTATCTTTTTTTTTTTTTTTTTTAATCTTTAAAAGGAATGAGAGGTGCGGGGATGGCACTGTGGGAACTTTATTTGTTGGTATTTCAAGGTGAACGATTTACATAATGAGAAATTATCTTTAAATGTTGTAGTTGATGTTCTTTGTGATTTTTTAAAAAAATTATGTAATAAGATAATTTGAATGAACTAATACTTTATTGGTGTGTAAAAATTTTGATTGCTTTAACAGTACTAATTAAAGACATGTCTGCATTGGAAAGTCTAGATTTCTTTAAGAATAATTTATGGCATGCAACATGTAATATTTCTTTCCTTTCCAACTGCTTTCTATTATATGCTTAGGGTTTAGATCGCTCCAATTCCTGGGTTAACACTGGTGGTCCAAAAGCTGCCCCATGGGGATCCAACCCCAGTCCAAGTGCAGAATCAATACAGGTGGTGTTTACATTAGAGGCTTCTTTATTGGCTGCTGACATTTCCCTTTAGAACATTACTTCTTAGTATATACTATGATTTCAGTGGCTTGCTTTTTTAATCATTTAAAAGTGTGTATTTTTGTTTACTTAGCACATTTTCCAACTACTATGCATGAGTACCACCAATTGCACAAGTAATGCTCTCCCTTTCTATATCCTGTCTCCTCCTCCTTCCCTCCCTATATACCCTGTCAGTATTTCAGTGCCTGCTGCCTATGCAATTGATGGCTTTTGTAACAGTTTCTACTTCAGGGGTAGCACATATTTAGTAGGAAATTTTTGAATTTTTATGTGGAAAAACACCCTAGTCTTTTCATTTGCTTTTGGTTTTAGATGTAGTTATTGTATCATTTTCATTTAGCATTTACTGTCAAGTCATGTTTTTCATAATCACTGAGTAGAAGAACTGGTGATAAGCTGAAATTAAATGTGAACAGTATTTTAAGATTGATCTCCACGTTGTAATGTTAAATGCCAGAAGCAAAAATTCGTCTTAATTTGAACTGTGTTGCAAAGTATGAAATTTGTTAGAATTTAGTTGAATTAGATTTTGCTTACTTAAGTCTAGTTGCTTGATAGCTAATGCTGCATGGTGCTTCAAAATATACTTCTCATCTGTGTATTGGGCTTTGGAGGAAAATTTTCTTATTGAAGAAAAATTTAAACCCATGTTTAATATTATAAATGATTTATATTTGATATAGCATATGGTACACCTAAACAGTAGTTTTTGATAGTAGTCAAAAAGCATAAGAAATCATTTTAAACCTTTTATTTCCGTTATTGAAGTAAAACTCTTGATTTCTTTTTTGGTCTAAGACCAGTTGAGAAGTATATTTTTTATATTTTCTTACTAGGTATGTGCATGTTTATATATAGATCACCCAGATAAAAGTTTCATTCTTTGCAGCACTCTGAATATTATATAGCCATTAAAATACTCTTTTTAAAGACTAAAAATATATAGAAGCCATTTTTATACTTCTAATGCACTGTCATTAAAGCAGCTTAAAATGATGAAAATGAGATGAGCTAAAATAGATGGTTGTTGAAACCATGATAAAACTCTATTTTTAAAAGTGTACATAATCCTTGAGCTGCAAAATCATCCACAGCAAACTTTAATGTTATCTCATCATTCATTCATCTTCACTCCATAGGCTATGGATCGAAGTTGTAATCGTATGTCTTCGCACACAGAGACGTCAAGTTTCTTACAAACATTAACGGGACGTTTACCAACTAAAAAGGTAGATTCATATGAAGACAGTTCATATAGGGGGAAGTAATTCCAGCAATTAAATTGATGTAAAATTTTTTTACGTAATCAGTATGAGATGTTACAATAATTGCATTGTGTCTAAAAATACATCTGAGCAAGCACTGCTTGCCTGATGCCTTTTTGGACACACCTCTCCATTGTAGGTTCTTTACATTATGATAATATTTACATCTTGTGGGATTAACTATTTTCAGAGTTTAATGAATTCATATTTAATCATCAAATTTTAGTACCAAAAATGTATCAACTCTTAATTCTGTTTCTGTAACTGCTTCTGTTTTGTGTTTTAAATCTCCAGGGAAAGGACGATGAGTTAGAAAAATTATCACTCTTAGTAAGATATGTTGATTTGCTTCCCTTATGCACAATTTTGTTAGTCTTTTCTCATATTAATATATACTAATTTGCAAATGCTTTGTATGCATATCCATTGTAAGGCAGGAATACTTTTTTTTTTTTAAAAAAAGACTTTAAACACCTGAAAACTTGAGAATTAATGGCTTATATCAAAATTCAGATATTTAAAGGTATTTCCTAAATTGTACCCGCAAAGCTGGTGTATGTATTTGTATATGTTAATATATGTATTTAAGGCGCAAACAAGATCTTATTTGTAACTGTGGTTTTTGGCCTAGTTTCTGTTTGCAGGTACAATTTAGGAGGTTGTTTCTCACTTGTCTTTTAAAATTACATTTTACTCAAAGATAACATGTAATTTTTTTCAGCTGTTGAACATACCACTGTCTTACATACATAAATAGTCGTTTCGTTAATGGGTGTTTTCACTGCATCATTGAATGGTTCACATGCCTTGTTTTGCTTATTCTCATTATATCCTCATTTGTAGTTCCATTATTATTTAGTTTGTGGTAGCAGCAGATTTGTTCTTCATATTAACTTTGATTTTACTTCTGGATAGCTTCTTCATGAGGAGCTGGCTTTGCAGTGGGTTGTTTGCAGTGGCAGTGTTCGGGAGGCAGCTTTGCAACAAGCCTGGTTCTTTTTTGAGTTAATGGTGAGCAAACTAAACACATTCTTTCTTTAATATTTTTTTTTTTCCTTAGTGACAGTTTTATGGTAGTTCATTTGAATCCTAGGAATCCTTTTCTGTTGTGTACCTTTTGGTTATATGTATGCCTCTGAGACAAAATTACATGTGTTATATCTGTAAATAAACATTGTAGGCATTCAGAACAGTTTCCATAGAAATAAAGTTAGAAGCTGACTTTAATTCCATTTCTTCACGGATGGTTGCAGAAGCTACTATCTTTTTTAAGAAAACTTGTGGCACATTCTTTCCTAGTCTGAACATGTAAGTGGTATAATGGCAGTACTGTAGATTTTATGCCAGGCAGAGATACAAAGAGCTTATAGAGCTACTCACTGCTAAGAAAGCTGTTAAAGGGATGTCAGTTACAGCCAATAGAAAAAAGTGAAGCAAAACACTTTTGCCTGATTCAATAGATAATATTAAAAATGAATAGATTAATATTTTAACAAATGCATAAATAAATATGCATATGTATATAAAAACTGTATGTTCAAGAGCAAGTTTCAGAGTCACTTCTGACATCCATTTTGATCTTTTCTTTTTTTCCTGTCTTTTCATGACCTTTTGCATTCTTCATGTATGATATAGAGTACAAACGTAGAATAGCCAAAGCGAATGGAAGAAAGGATGAAGTAAAAGAGCTGAATGGAAGATTTCAAAGGGTGGCTCAAGAAGACAAAGTGAAGTGTTATAATGAAATGTGCTAAGACCTGGAGTTAGAAAACCAAAAGGGAAGAACACACTCGGCATCTCTCAAGATGAAAAAAACAAAGAAGAAATTCAAGCCTCGAGTTGCCATGGTGAAGGATTCAATGGGCAAAATACTGAATGAAGCAGGAAGCATCAAAAGAAGATGGAAGGAATACACAAAGTCACTGTACCAAAAAAGAATTGGTCGACATTCAACCATTTCAGAAGGTAGCATATGATCAAGAACTGATGGTACTGAAGGAAGAAGTCCAGGCTTCACTGAAGGCATTGGTGAAAAACAAGCCTCCAGGAAATGATGGAATACCACTGGAGATGTTTCAACAAACGGATACAGTGCTGGAGGTGTTAACTCGTCTGCACCAATAAATTTGGAAGATAGCTACTTGGCCAACCGACTGGAAGAGATCCGTATTTGTGCCCCTTCCAAAGAAAGGTGATCAAATGGAATGTGGAAATTATCGAACAATATCATTAATGTCACACACAAGTAAAATTTTGCTGAAGATAATTCAAACATGGTTGCAGCAGTACATTAACAGGGAACTGCCAGAAAGTCAAGGCACATTCAGAAGAGGACGTGGAACAAGGATGTCATTGCTGATGTCAAAATGGTCTTGGGAAGCAGTGATTACCAGAAAAATATTTACCTGTGTTTTATTGACTAATTAAAGGCATTCAGCTGTGTGGATCATAAAAAATTATGGGTAACATTGCAAAGAATGAGAATTCCCAGAACATTTAATTGTGCTCATGCGGAACCTGAAATTGACCAAGTGGCAGTCGTTCAAACAGAACAAGGGGATACTGCATGGTATAAAATCAGGAAAGGTGTACATAAAGTATCCTTCCACCATAGTTATTCAATCTGTATGCTGAGCAAATAATCTGAGATATGGGACTATATAAAGAAGAACGAGGCATCAGGATAGGAGGAAGAATCATTACCAACCTGCGATATGCTGATGACACAACCTTGCTTGCTGAAAGCTAAGAGGACTTGAAGCACTTACTGATGAAGATCAAATACTGTAGTATGGATTACACTTCAACATAAAGAAAACAAAAATCCTCACAACTGGACCAATAAGCAACATCCTGATAAACAGAGAAAATATTGAAGTTGTCAAGAATTTCATTTTACTTGAATCCACAGTCAGCACCCATGGAAGCAGCAGTCGAGAAATCAAACGACGTATTGCATTGGGCAAATCTGTGTAAAAGACCTGTTTAAAATGTTGAAAAGTCAAGATATCACTTTGAGGACTAAGGTGCACATGACCCAAGCCATGGAATTTTCAGTTGCCTCACATGCATGCGAAAGTTGGACAATGAATATGGAAGATCAGAGAGGAATTGATGCCTTTGAATTATGGTGTTAGTAAGAATATTGAATATACCATGGACTGCCAAAAGAATGAACAAATCTGTCTTGGAAGAAGTACAGCCAGAATGCTCCTTGGAAGTGAGGATGGCAAAACTTCTTTCTCATATACTTTGAACATGTTATCAGGAGGACCATTCCCTGTTGAAGGACATCATGCTTGGTAAAGTAGAGTGTCAGCGAAAGAGAACAAGACCCTGAGTGAGATGGATTGGCACAGTTGCTACAACAGTGGGCTCAAACATAGCAGTGACTGTGAGGATGGCGCAGGACTGGGCAGTGTTTTCGTTCTGTTGTACATAAGGGTCGCTATGAGTCAGAAGCAACTTGATGGCACCTAACAACAACAACATATAAATAAACAAAAGCAACAAATATCAAGAGCCCACAATGTGCTAGCACTACTCTATGGCCCAAGTATTATTACCCGGGCACAGAGAGGTTAAGTAACTTGTCTAAGTATGCACAGCTTGAAGGTAACAGAGCTAGAATTCAAACTCAGGTATTTTGGCTCTTCAGACTTTCCTCTTAACCATATAGCCTCTAGAAAGCTGAAATCGTTGGAACCTTTTCTTCAAAAAAAAAAAAAAAAAAAAAGTATATAAAAAATAAGCAAAGGAGGAAGAAAGCAACATCAAAAAGTAAAGAAAGAAAGGAAAAGAGAAAAAACAAAGGGAGCTTCCAGAATGTATAGGATCATTTTCAGCATTGAATGTTATGTATATTGGAAATAAGAAGACATTCTTCTCTAGCTATTTAATAGTCTGTGAAAATAAATAACTAAATAAATTTTGGACCTCATATAAGTAAGAGGAAGCTCATTTTTTTCTCTAGAGAATAAACATAAAATTTACTTTTCATGTGCTTTTAATATAATATCAAAATTGTAATTTTGACTTATTTTTTGATAGTTTTACATGTATTTCAGATTTCCTAAATATAGTCTATAGTCTACAGTTTAAGATGTGGCTTTTATTTGCTAACTATAGAACCTTACTTTTAGTCTTCCTGAATTTCTAATTCTTTATTACCATTACCACAGTGTTGTGGTAAGAATCTATATCTAAAATCATATAATCTTAAATCACAATAAATATTTGATGACTAAAATGTTAGTAATAAACAAGTTTTTAACTAATGTTTATTACTAATATTTAGTCATCAAATATTTATTGTACACTCACTATATGCCACTATATGCTGGATGCTGAAGACACTAAAGTGAAGACAAGGTTTCTAATCTCTCAAGGCTTATAGCGTAGGTGTAGAAAATGGCAAACTTATTGAATATTGGAAAATTTTCATTAAAAGAATTTTCAGAGGATCAAATTTTGTTTCTGTTGAGGTACACAATTTTTTTTCCTATTGATAGGATTTTATGAAGCTGATGCAGTGATTGAGTTGTATTGTGTTTAATGTCTTTGGGGCATACAAAATATTGTAGGGAACTTTTTCAAAATATTTCTGGGTTTAAAATTATTTCAGCTGTCTTTTAAATCAAGGTATAGGGAAGAAATAACCCAAACGTTTAGAATTATAGTAACTGTTAATTAAATCCATAAGAAATTAACCCCCCTAATGGCTTATATCTTTTTTCAGGTAAAGAGCATGGTCCACCATTTATACTTTAATGATAAACTCGATGCTGCAAGGAAAAATCGTTTTCCAGAACGTTTCATGGATGACATTGCTGCTCTTGTCAGCACAATTGCTAGTGATATATTTTCACGATTTCAGAAGGTAATAAGTTATTTTTTTAATTAAATCTCTCTTTCAAGCTAAGATTAAAGTATCATATTTTAATTTGGTTTTTGCTTTTTATTCTGTTTCTCAGGACATAGAAATGGTTGAGAGATTGAACACAAGCCTGGCATTCTTTCTCAATGATCTGTTGTCTGTTATGGACAGAGGATTTGTCTTTAGCCTTATAAAGTCCTGCTATAAACAGGTAATGCATAATTAGTAATCAAATAATTTAAATAGTATGTTCTTTTTTAGGGCTGGCGCTAAGAGACTTTGAAGAACACATATATACTGATGTTAAAAAAGTAGCATATTTTTAATAGTTGGGCAGAAATAAATTGCATTTGTTTAATTAGCACACAAAGACTGTGGCAAGCTGTTATTAGTACATCCGGCTTTTCCTTGAGTTGTATTGGCCCTGGCGTGACCACTTTTTAATTCTCATTCTGGAGTACACCAACAAGTCACTAATCTACATGTAAAGATGCCATGCTGTTGTAGCACTGATATTGAATGAACAGTTAACTGAGCTCTTTGAGTGATTTTTAAAGCAGCTCCATTTTGCTATGTGTTATTCCCTTCGTAACTGGAGATTTTAACATCATGGACAGATGTGGATTCAGGGCCCAAATGTCATTCAGTATGTTGCTTTTACCAAACTCAAAACATCCTACAACTTTTCCATAAACAGCTGATTTTGTTTTAAAATTTTATCAACCAGTTAATGAAACCTGTTGTCTTATGTACCTACTGCTGTCATAACAGAAATACCACAAGTGAGTGGGTTTATGAAATTCATGTTCTCACAGTTCTGAAGGCTAGAAGTCCAAATTCAGTGCGTGGCTTTAGGGGAAGTTCTTCCTTGTCAGCTGGCTGGGGTTTCCTTGGCATTCCTTGGCGTCTGTTTTCCCCCTGCGTGCCTATGTCTATTCTGCTCTTTCTATAACTAAGAGTGATTAGGTTCAGGACTCACCTACTCTGGTATGACCTTATTAACATAAAAAAAGAAAAACCTATTTCCAGACAGGATCACATCCACAGGTACAGGGGCCAGGATTTCAATATATATTTTTCGTGGGTGGGGTGGGGGTGGGGGTGGGCACAATTAAATTTATAACACTTGTCTTTTGGAAAACATTAATTATTGGTGTTGATGGGTCAGTTGGGTAGTGAGCTCTATAATCATTCCAGAATTATTTTGGGAGCTTTTAAAATACAGGCCTCTGGGTCCTATCCCAGAATTATTGAGGAGTTAGAATCCTGGTGGTGGGAGTGGGTAGTGCTTATGCAGCACTTCCCAGCAGGTCCAGGTTGGCTTTAGGGAACTGCTAGTCCAGCATGCTATTTGGTAGTCTAATATTTAGATCTTTAACGGATGCAGTGCTGGAAGTGCCCACTTGTCTATGCCAGGAAATTTGGAAGACAGCTACGTTGCTAACCAACTGGAAGAGATCCATATTTAAGCCTATTCCCAAAAAAGGTGATCCAACCGAATGCAGAAATTATTGAACAATATCATTAATATTACACGTAAGTAACCTGTGCTATGCAGATGACACAACTTTGCATGCTGAAAGTGAAGAAGACTTGAAGCACTTACTGATGAAGATCAAAGACTACAGCCTTCAGTATGGATTACACCTCAACATAAAGAAAACAAAAATCCTCACAACTGGACCAATGAGCAACATCATGATAAACGGAGAAAAGATTGAAGTTGTCAAGGATTTCGTTTTACTTGGATCCACAATCAACACCCATGGAAGCAGCAGTCAAGAAATCAAAAGACGCATTGCACTGGGCAAATCTGCTGCAAAAGACCTCTTTGAAGTGTTGAAAAGGAGACTAAGGTGTGCCTGACCCAAGCCATGGTATTTTCCGTTGCATCATATGCATGTGAAAATTGTACAGTGAATAAGGTAGACTGAAGAAGAATTCACGCCTTTGAATTGTGGTGTTGGCGAAGAATATTGAATATACCATGAACTGCCAAGAGAACTAACAAATCTGTCTTGGCGAGACTATGTCTTACATACTTTGGACATGTTATCAGGAGGGATCAGTCCCTGGAGAAGGCCATCATGCTTGGTAAAGTAGAGGGTCAGCGAAAAAGAGGAAGACCCTTGACAAGATGGACTGACACACAGAGGGTTTTCCTCTTTTTCACTGACCCTCTACTTTACCAAGCATGATGGCCTTCTCCAGGGGCTGATCCCTCCTGATAACATGTCCAAAGTATGTGAGATGAAGTCTTGCTATTCTTGCTTCTAAGGGGCATTCTGGCTGTACTTCCTTCCAAGACAGATTTGTTCGTTCTTTTTGCAGTCCATGGTATACTCAATATTCTTTCCCAACACCATAATTTAAAGGCATCACTTCTTTGATTTTCCTTAATCGTTGCCCAGCGTTTACATGCATACAACGTGATTGAAAACACCATGGCTTGAGTCAGGCGCACCTTAGTCCTTAAAGTGACAACTTTGTTTTTTAACACTTTAAAGAGGTCTTTTACAGCAGATTTGCCCGATGCAATGCATCATTTAATTTCTTGACCGCTGCTTCCATGGATGTTGATTGTAAATCCAAGTAAAATGAAATCCTTGATGTCTTCAGTCTTTTCTCCATTTACCATGATGTTGCTTGTTGGTCCAGTTGTGAGGATTTTTGTTTTCTTTATGTTGAGGTGTAATCCATACTGAAGGCTGTAGTCTTTGATTTTCATCATTAAGTCCTTCAAGTCCTCTTCACTTTCAGCAAGCAAGGTTTTGTCATCTGCATATCGCAGGTCGTTAATGAGTCTTCCTCCAATCCTGGTGCCGCGTTGTTCTTCGTATAGTCCAGCTTCTCGGATTATTTGCTCAGCATACAGATTGAATAAGTATGATGAAAGGATACAACCCTGATGCACACCTTTCCTGACTTTAAACCATGCAGTAACTCCTTGTTCTGTTCGAATTACTGCCTCTTGATCTATGTACAGGTTCCTCATCAGCATAATTAAGTGTTCTGGAATTTTCATTCTTCGCAGTTTGTAGTATGTCTCCTCAAGTAGTTTATGGTGTAATTGGGAAAATAGACAATTAGTAAAAAACATAGGTAAACACAAGGTGCTGTGAAAGGCGTAGTGAATTTCTTTTAAGAAGTGATGCAAAGTTATTTTTGTTGATTAAATGTTCTCTAATAAGTATGTCTTTGAAGACTGGAAATATTAATACTTTATTGGAAATATAAGAATATGGCTTTTAGGTTAACCAAATGGATTTTTACAGTAAATTTTGTGGTTCTAAATTTCATAATTTTAGCAATAACTAGAAAAAGCTAATACTATTATGTAAACCGTAAAACCCAAAACTTGTCATTGAATACTGCTTTTTTAATTCTTCAGTACTTCATTCTGTTGTTAATATTGGAGAATTGATATATTCATTTGGTGTTCTTTTATTTATGCAATGCTTACTAGGTATCTTCAAAGCTTTATTCATTACCAAATCCAAGTGTCTTTGTGTCGCTGAGGTTGGATTTTCTGCGAATCATCTGCAGCCATGAACACTATGTTACATTAAACTTACCCTGCAGTTTACTAACTCCACCAGCATCTCCATCACCATCTGTTTCTTCTGCAACATCTCAGGTATGCAAAGTGTATGATCATATATATGTATGTATGTATGTTTTTGTTTTTAAGTCTATATTTGTGAAAAGAAATTTAAGCAGTGGAAAAATACGATTAACACTTAATGAATAATAGCTGGATGATAGGCTTAGTTCTTAGTACTTCTTGAGTATTCACTCATTTAATCCTTGAAGCAATTTTGTTAAACAAAACCCAGTGCCTTTTATTCAATTCTGACTCGTAGTGACCCTGTAGGACAGAGTAGAATTGCTCGTGGGGTTTCCAAGGGTGTAATCTTTACTCAAGCAGACTACCACATCTTTCATCAGTGGAGCACCCGGTGGGTTCAAACCACTGACCTTTCTGGTAGCAGCCAAGTGCTTTTAGCACTGCACCACCAGGGCTTCCAGGTATCTTCTTATCCCCATTTTACAGATGAAAAAACTGAAACACAGAAAGGTCAGGATCTTACCCAAGGTCACACAGTAAAAAGTGGCAGAGCTAGGCTTTGAATCAAGGCACATGCTGGCTGTATTCTAGAGCTGAAGTTCTTAACTGCTGTTTTACAGCCTCTCACAAATTTATGCACATGTGAATGAATTCACCTACATAAACTCACTTATTTAGATGCTTTTACAAGTTGAGTTCTCTGGAAGCAGAACTGAACTGGAGTTCAACGTGCATGGTTTTTAGGGATCAAATCTGTGAAAGGAAAAAGGATGGAGGATAAATTGAGCAGAGAGAGAAATCAAATTGTAAGGCAGGCCTAACAAAGCCCTGCCTAACTCTCTTGTACACAGAAAACTCAAAGGAAACTTTGTTGTTGTTGTGTGCTGTCAAGTCAGTTACAACTCATAGAGACCCAATGTGACAGAGAAGAACTGCCATGTAGGGTTTCCTAGGCTGTAATAGTTACAGTAGCAGATTGCTGGTCTTTTCTCCCATGGAACTACTGGTGGGTTCAAACCACTTTTATTGGCAGCCAAGCACTTAACCATTGCATATCGCTCCACCAGGGCTCCTCCAAAGAAAATTAGATAGACATTTATAAGTTTTCATTGTGTGGCACTTTACTGCAACAACCAGTTGTTTCCCTAAAGATTAAGAAAGTGTTATTGTGGTAATTCTTGTTCTTCTCATACAGATCAAGATTAAGGGATTTTGTGATTTTCAGTATCTGAGAAGCCTGGCTTTTCTTCTCTCCTAGTGAAACACTCTGCTACAGTACTCACGAGGCAAACAAATCTACTTTCTTAACCTACACACACACACACACACACACACACACACACACACACACA